TGCTTTGTTATAGTTTTTGCATCTTTGGAAAATTGTCTGCTTGCAGTGATGGCCTGTGACCGCTATGTGGCCATTTGTCACCCCCTGAGGTACACAGTCCTCATGCATCCCCACCTCTGTGTCCTGCTGGTTTTGTTCTGTCTTCTCATTAGCGTGGTGATTGCCCTCCTCCACACTCTGATGCTGCTGCGGCTGTCCTTCTGCACAGACCTGGGGATCCCCCACTTCTTCTGTGAACTTGCTCAGGTCATCAAGCTGGCCTGTTCTGATTCCTTCATTGATAACATCCTGATCTACGTTTCATCTTGCGTATTTGCTGGTGTTCCTCTCTCCGGGATCATTTTCTCTTACGTTCACATTGTGTCCTCTGTCTTGAGAATGCCATCATCAGAAGGAAAGCACAAAGCCTTTTCCACCTGTGGGTCTCACCTGTGTGTGGTCTCCCTGTTCTATGGGACAGGACTTGGGGTGTACATTAGCTCTGCGATCTCTGACTCTTTAAGGAAGTCTGCTGTGGCTTCAGTGATGTACACTGTGGTTCCTCAGATGCTGAACCCCTTTATCTAMAGTCTGAGAAATGGGAACATGAAGGAGGCCTTGAGGAAACTTGTCAGTAGGTTAGCATCGACTTTATAATGGGTCAGTTGCTTTGGATTTTGGTTTCTAGAGTATGTCACAGTGACAGGGCCCTTGATACCTGGATCTTCTGCCCATACATTCTGCCCCCAAATGATGATATACTGTAATGACCAGGTGCATTTTACCTCTGAGTGAATTATTATATCGCTTTTGCCTATCCCTGTGATGTTGGACACATAATTTCAATAATCTAAACATAATTTTTTATGTGCTCTCACAGGAKCTGTGCCTGGAGTAAAGGACTCTAATTTTAGAGATATTTGTTGTGATGCATTCTTTACAAAAAGGCAAGTTTGAGTCTGGTGCWGTGGTGCCTGCCTGTAGTCCCAGTGGTTTAGGAGGTTGAGGAGGGAGGACCACAAGTTCARAGCCAGCCTCAGCATCTCAGTGAGGCCTTGTCTCAAAATAAAATATAAAAAGATTGCTCAGTTGTTGAGCACCCCTGATTCAAACTCTAGTACCAAAACAAAAAATCAAAAGAAAAAAAAGAAGGAGGAGGAACTGGGGTGTGAAGAAAGAAAAAGAAAATGAAAAAAGGAAAAGGCAAGTTCTAGAGGGTGAATAGACTGGGAATATTTTGAAACAGAGCTGCCTTTATATCTACAAAGTTGACTCCAGGTGATTATATGGCTGGGGCYATGTGAGTTGCATCCTAGAGGTASTTTYACTGCGAGGCAAAGRGGTACCATTTATATCTTGTGAACAAATATGGAACCACTTTAGTGGCCAGTATAACTTTCTAAGATCACAATGGCGTCCACATGTCCTGTGCCATGTTGTTTAAAATTGGCATGATTAGGTGACATCAGTGGTCTGAGATGGTCATGAGGACATTCAAACTCATCAGTAAAGATGCCTTTTGTCCTAATAAGAAAAAGCAAAGTCTAACATTAATAKGTTGCTCTAACAATAAAGAGACATCACTTGCATTGCTAGCACTTCTGAGGTGGGGAGTGGACCAGAGTGGAGTAGGACTTCCATTGGTTCTCCGTGAGCTGGCCTCTTCCTAGGGCTGGTTTCCTCCCAAGTCACCAGGTGAGAGCAACAAATTCAGGTGTAGTGCTTATACATGATGCTAGAGAAAGAAAACTGAGTGCTATTCCTGGGTCAGCTGATAGGTGACTTGACCGTGGATCAGTCAGACTGCATCTCTTAGAGAATTTAATGGTGGCCCTAAGCATAGGCCCAGAACTTTCCCAAATAATTTTTTATTTATTTATACAATAACTGGCTAATATTGCTTGTTTGAGGAAAGAGGACTTGAAAAGGCTTTCTTGGGTGGGTCTCAAGTGTAATCCCATGTTTCAGTGTAAAAGAGTCTGACTTGTAGTAGAAATAGAGAAGGAGGCTTGGCAACCACAAAGACAGAAATTGGATTGATACAGCCAATGTTTGATCATTTGTTCCATATAAAACTGTCATTTTCATAAGGTTTCAATGAGTTTTTATCACCTCTGTAGATATCCCTATAAAATTTATTTCATAAATTTGCTTCTTTTTGAACTTGCCAAAGTTCAAGTTTAATAAATTTATCCCAAGTTTTATCATTAGTACTTCCTGCTTTTCAGGATCATTCATGTTGAGTAAAGCAGTTACTCATTTTTGGTTTTTCAATAAAAATATTTTGCTTATTATAGTCAAAACATTGAAAACAAAACAAAAAAACATTGAAAATTTCACCATAAAGATTCATTTTTTGAAAATTCAAGGTTAGACACAGTTCCAATCTTGCAGATATTCTGAGCAAGAGATGTATTCTCCTAGTTATCCAATTATTAATAGCAATGTGGTAAATAACAACAACAAAAATTGTTAAAGTCTTCTTGTTTTATTAGTGAAATCTATTAGTGAACTGTCAATGTCCATATTTTAAGCTCTGTATTGTGACATTAAAACTAAGAAGCACACCTGGTGTTGATGAAATACGACTTCTATTCCCAGAAAAGTGTCTGGTTTTCGATTGCTGTAAGCAAACCTGTTCCAGGATTCTCCTCCATGTCTTCTGAAGGAAATAAAAGAATCATCTACTTGGGAAGATGACTGGTTATAGCAGAGTGACTGTTCACCTTTTGGGGTTCCCACAGAGCTTTCCTGAGTAGGTGCATCATCTGACCATCCCTCACCCTCCCCACAACACTGTCTCTTCTTCAGAAAATGCAGTGGATATATAATAAAATTTCATCAATTTATTTTACTTTCGTGATGAGGTTCAGAGTCATTATAATACCATGCAACATCCTTTTCTCTTGTGAAATGTGTTTCCTTTATTTCCACTTAGATTTTTATTCTATTKAAAAGTTAATTCCTAACATTTCTTTATGTAATTGTGATAGTGATCCTTTATCCTTATTTATATTGTGAATTTATTTTAGACAGGCGTCTCCTTTGCTTATCTGTCACAGTATGTACCAAGGGCCCTCTAGTCCTTGGTTTTAATGTGGTTTGTTTGTCAGCATTTTCCCTCAGGGCCTGTGCTCTGTAATTCTTGATCTTGAAACTCCTACTTTGGCTGAAAAGAGATTTGTAGTCTTGCTCTATTCTGCCAAGATTGAAGCCATGTGAAATTTGTTTTTGCCGTGGATGTGCTAAAGAGATGAAAATCGCTTTTATTACTGAGCACCTTTTATTAAGAAGTCCATCCTTTGACCATAATGCCAATCCAGCAATAAATAAGCTGTGGATTTAAGTGATCATGTTTTCTGGGCTGTCTCTCCTGGGCAGTAGGATTGCTGTATCTACCCCTGCACTATTACCTCCTGTCTGCAGACTTGGGGCTCACTAGTCGGCCAGACTGACTCTCTTGTAACACAGAAGCCCTAGAAGATTTTTAGTTACAATCACAAATGATTATCTGTTTTCTGCTAATTTGCATTTTTTGGCAGCAACATTGACAACTAGGACCCTTATTTTAAATCTCTGACCTCCACTTATTGCCGATGATGTGTGTATGTGACAACACGGTGATATTCAGAAAATGAGGCTGTGAAATTCTAAAAGAAAGTAAGATAAATGTTAAAGAGTCCATTTTGATTGGAATAAAATATTAGAAATGGTTGTTTGTGATATGCATAAGGTAAAATTTAACCAAGCCACATATTGAATTAGTCTTTGTTGAAGTTATATGATATTTTCAATATGTTATCATTGGTATTAGATTGGTAGATTAGATAGATAGATAGATATGATTACATAGATCAATAGATGCATAGATAAATATAGATGATTAGACAGATAGGATAATAAATAGTTATACGGTAGGTAGATACATAGGATTACCAAATTTATGAATTCTGAGAGAATGTCACCTCTAAATTCCAAAAGTGCATATCCAACTTCCTGCTTACACTCCCGTGTGGATGTCTAGTAGACATCACAAATTTAACATTTCCTTAATATTATGATATGAATCCTCCTATATTTTATACATATTCACTTTCCTGTCATAGCTGATGGCAACTCCATATTTCCAGGTACTGACCATTTTCTCTCGTTAAGATAATCTGATTCCTCTTTTTCTTTTATAACCTGTGCACAATCATTCATAAAATGCCCCGCCATTACCAGCGTGATCCAAGCCATCATCCATACAGGTTGATTTAAATGCCATCCTGCCTGGACTGTCCTGAGTCTGCTTGTCATTGGCAGGCCTTCATGCTAACTACCAGACACTCCCTCTTTGTCACCTCTTTTCTCTTCTCCCTGTGATTTATTCCCTTTCTCCCCTTCTGAACTCCTTATGCTGTGGATTTTCATGTTGTGACTCTCTGGATTGTGGTTTGAAARTTGCTCCTCTGCAAAACTTACATTGAAATGTAGTGCCCACTGTAAATGTATGAAGATGTGGGACATTTAAGATGCTATTTGGCCACAAAGCTTCTTCCCTCATGAGTGGTTTAATGATGGCATAGAAATGACTAAGATGTGAGTTGGCTCATCTGATCTTCTTCCACGTGAGAAGCAGCATTCATCCCATCTGCAGGATGAAACACTCAGGGTGCCATCTTGGTTTGGAGACCAGACCCTTAACCAAACACCATGTAGGTTGTGACCATGACTGTGGACTTCCAAGCCTCTAGAACTGTGCACTAATAAATCTCTCTTTTTGACAAATTTTCTATCTGTGGTAGTAATTTATAGCAGCAACAATAGGCTAAGATGATCTTTTTTTCAGGATTATTTTCCTTCTTTTAAAAAAAATCTTTATTAGTAGAATTTATGTAAATGGGTTTTTCCTCATTATTTTCATCTTTGGACTGTTTTTTTTTATCTAGTAGATTACCAGTTATATTCACTAATCACTATTCCGTCTGCCCATCCTAAATTAATTTTAATGGATATTATGCTTCTGATTTTAACACCACCACCAATGAAGTTCTGAAGCCATCAGGATGCTTGTTTCAGTTGCTCTTTGGTGGAATATTCTGAAACTTACAACTGTTCTAGGGCCATATGCGTGAGCCCAGACCATGTCTCCAATCTCTTTGTCCACATTTCCTAAATATTGAAGCTCCATGCTTGCCTTTGATGCTGATTTCTCATACTACAACAAAAATTAATGATAATTTCCACTAATGATCACCTAATGGRAAGAAAGCAGATCCTGAAACCACAACTAGACAATATGATTATGAAACATGAAAGATTAACCCACACATCTGTGTTGAACACAGAACTGGTGACAGGTTATTGCCATAGAGCAGGRAGGCACAGCATTCAGCATGTGAGCAAAGCTGTGAATGTAGATGAGACAAGGAAGTGGAGAAGAGAAGCATGGACARCCTGGATTCCCAGGCAAGGGGACCAGCCACCCTGGTCCTGACCTTCTGTATTGTTGGTCTTGAAGGATTTACACAGTCCCAGGACCCAAATAATGAGGTTCTGTCTAATGAGGATCTTAGGGTATTGCGTCCCCGGGGACACAGAATCTACAAACACTCTGTGACCGCCTCACTTAAGAATCTTTTGTAGTCAGAAAGAAACACCAGAGGATCCTGAAG